GGCTAGCGACACAGCTATAGCGGAACAGCGCCAGAACTCAGAGCGAAAGGATGGCAGGCGCTGAAGCTCTCGAGGTCGAAAAGCATCGACCAAGGTGTATTGCAGAGCGGTCGCTCGACACTCTGAAGCGATGGTAAAAATCGCGGACGTCTTCGCCCAGCACCTCTTGCTCAGACAACTCGATGTCAAGAAGGGAGCTGGCGGAGGAGAGCATGCTTAACCATCTGCAGTCGAGGCAGAGCACAGGTTTGCGGGCCTCCCGTCGACTATCAGGCGATCGGCCTCCAGAGACTTCGGCAGGGCAAACAAACCACAGGCCTTGCTTAAGTCGAGGCAGGGCGCGTCGCTGAGCTTAAGCCTGCCGGCTTTGTCCAGCACAGTAAGAAGCTCAATTTTCTCGGCTTTGCAGGCAGCACGGACCTTGACCTTAATCGGCGGCAAGGGGGCTTCGTGCAAGGGAACTGAGTAGCGTGAAGGGCGCAGATAGAGGTCGCGAAGGCGACAATCCATGTACGGACAGGGATCGAAGCCCGGCGGCTCCTTAGGCAGGCTGAGGCGGCTGACCTCTATATCCTTTGCAAGCTGGAGGCTCGGAAGGGAGGAGCCTTGAGAAGCTTCATGCACAAGCTCAAGCTGACGCAGCTGAAGCTCCACTTTTTCCATCTTGGTAGCAGCCCTCCCCATCTCGGCTGGGGCGACTTGTGGAAAGCCATCCCACTGCTGTAAGGCCGAAGAGAGTCGGAGCCAGCCACGCAAAACAGGTGCAGCGAGGCTACGCCGGTGTTGGCGCAAAAACGGGGAGCAGGCGCTGGAGGAGCAGGCCGCCCCTTTCCACCGAGCTTCTTCTTTGCCTCGAGGCGCTGCTCCAACTCGCGAACTTTACGCAGGCACAACTCCGACCATCTAGGTTCAAAGATCTTAGAGTGATAGGAGTCGATGGAGTCGTAGTGCGACTGCCTGCGGTTGGAAAAGGCTGCGAGTGGAGGCGCGGGCTCACAAGGCAAAACTGCTCGACAAGAAGCCAGCTGCCACCGTCAAGGCTCTGCTGGTCGCAGGCGGCGACAGCCAAAGCGGCACGAGCACGGGCTTCTTCGGTGCAACCAGGCTCGAGCGGCGGCCTTGGCTTCAGCTAGGCTGGCGCCTAGCCGACGCTGCAACAAGTTTGTCAAGGAGACGCTCAATTGGTCCATAAATGAGAGCAGGCTCTCGAGCGTGAGTGTCTTTTGAGGGTAGGCTGCAGCTTTCGACCTGCTCCCTGAAGTGGAGGAGCTGCTGCTCTCTCCAAAGGCAGTGAAGCCTTCCGCTCTGTCCAAAGCGGCTTCGAGAGTAGGGGCTCTCTCAGCTTTCTTCTTCTGCTTTGCCAAGTCTGCCACAATCTGAGTCAAAGCGACTACCGCGGCTTCCATGGGGGAAGCGTCAGGAGCAGTGCCGGCTACAAGCGCAGGAGGCTCAACTTCGGACTCAGCATCCTCGCCTTCCGCAAAGGCGGCCCCAGCAGCGGGGGACTTGGCAGATCCACGGTGACGAGAAAGGAGGGCTTGGATCTCAGAGAGTTCAGCGGCAGGAACTCCAGGCTCTGAGCTATGCGAGCCAGAGCGGGATCAAAGGTGGGAAGCTCTGAAGCTTGGCCCCCTCTCGGCAGGGGCGTTCCGGGATGGAACCCTCAACACTTTGCTTTTGGCCGCGCAGCACGCGAAGCTCCTAAGGAGGCGGCTTTAGCGGGGGCAGGTTTTGCAGCAGCGAGCGACTTCAAAGCCGAGGCAATCTCCCCGACAGTTCTCTCGAGGTTCTTCACGCGGATCTCAAAGGCATCCCCGGAAGGGGCGGCGACGAAAGAAAAATGGCTGTCAGCCAGCTGAATCAATGCAGGCGCGTACGGCAGCGCAAGGATACCCCTGGCGCAGCGAAAGGAACGTCCCACACTTCTGGCAGGTCAGAAAACACAACAGTGTCGGCAAGGGACTTTGAAAGAACCCCTATCCAGATGCGAAGGGTGAAGTCGGCTCCCAAGATAAACATATTTCAAATCCTCGGGGCGGACCACACTGGCATTTGATGAAACCTCAGACATCGCCCGGCGCGGGCAGCTGCAAACCTGCCTCTATGCAAGCGACGCGCGCCTCCCACAGCGCAGGGAAGCCACAGAAAACGGCCTCCCCAAGATGGCCGTTGACTTTCACGATGCGCTCGGCGGCGCTGAAGCTATGGAACACCAGAGGGGGATCAAAGGTTTCCCCCCTGGCGTTCCGGCACACCACGTAGCAGCGGGACTGGAGAGGATTCCTATGTCGGCTTGAGCTGCCACGACGCTCACCGGCCAGTGCACGGCGGAAGAAGGCCCCAGTTGAAACAGCTATGTCCGGACGAGTTTCCTCGGACAACTGAGCCGAAGGCGGCAGCCGAGGAGGAGTGGAAGGAGGCTCGACGACCAAGCCAGAACTGGCAGGAGAAAGGGGCAAGTCCAACCCCTGACCCCTTGTGCTTGGAGCTGCAGGAGAGTGAAAGACAGGCTCCGACGAGGGAGAGGCACGAGACGAGCAGGCTGAAGCAGAAGCGCGAGGAACGGGCGCACTGGAGGAAGCAGGGCGGCTGGGCACAACAGAGAAGGAACCAACCGAAGAAGAAGCCCGAGGAACGGGCGCACTGGAAGAAGGAGCCCGAGGAACGGGCGCACTGGAGAAAGAAGCCCGCGGAACGGGCGCACTGCAGGACCCCGGCTCCGGAGAGGCCAAGGGCGAGGAGAAGGCAGGTGCCCGAGGAACGGGCTCAGCAACTGGAGGTTGCGAAGAGGCAGAAGGAACAGCAGAGGCCCGGGGAACGGGCGCAGGCAGAGGATCCAAGCGAGGTCGTGGCTCGAGCGATGCACCTCAGTGGTCAGCTCACTCAGTGCACTCAAGATGTCTTGCAAAGAAGGTGGCACATCTATTAAGGGTCCTAAAAAGATACTCAGAAGGCAGCCCACCAACAGGCTGGGCAAGTGCAGGCTCGAAGGCTCGAGACCACAGCTTCTGCAGCCCACCTCCGGGCACAGACAGGACGATACCTCTTCCGGAACAGCAGGGACCAGTAAAGAGCCTCGTGAGCGCGCCTCCAGAGCCCTCAACACAAGCGAGGCAGCGGAACCTCCAACTATCCGTACCTGAAGCTGTCTGGACATGCACTCGACCCAAACAGCTGAGCACCCGCACCATCTTTTATGCAAGACATGAACCCTAGGCATGACCTTTTAATCTCTCAGCCTTTACCTACAAGCCCTACGCACAAAACTCAGCAGTCGTTCGCGGTGATAAGTGCATGCTGGCGCCGGGATAGCCAGCGGCAAGCAACATCACGTGGCATCAGGCCAGGACGGGCTCGAGCTGGCAAGCGAAACCTAGCGAGGGCTCAAGGGGTGGCCAGCAGTGCTTGTTCAATCCAGCTGGCAGTTGCACGGGCCAAGTGTGTCGCGCCACCATGGTCCAACATCGTGCACTTCTTCCTGTGCATCATTACCGAGCATGTCTACGACAGGCATCGCGGAAAGACCGGGCCCGGCAAGTCAAAAGGAAGCATCTCGTGCTCCAAGAAATCGCAGCAGGAAAGAAACCATTCAGCCAATCTGAGAATGGGGGATGGCAATGCTGGCTGGCACGGGTCGGAGATGCGCATCTTCACCAGTAGTCGTTGTATCACTCTGTGGCAGTAAATGAACACTGCACCAAGAGAACAACAGCTGCTGCCAGACACACTACTTGGCAGTATGCATGACTCAGAAAGGGGAACTGTGGCCAAACACATGCCGATGTGCAAATCTACGATCTTGGAAAGGACCCAGACCAGAGAAGAACTGCATCAAATGCCGACGGCTCACATGGAGAAGCACACAAACATCCCCTATTGCACGTGCGGCTGCGTTTGTCTTAGCTGTGCTGACAAGCCCATCTGCATGAACTCGTTTGCGGCCTTTGCCCATGTTATAGTCTCTTTTGGTTCCTCAAATCAATCATCCGGTTGCGGTGTCACAGGAGCAGTTTTCCACGGACTTGAAGCGTGCATGTTCATGTAATGTGCAGATGCCGGAAACGCCTGAACAAATGATCGTGGAATCATAAGGGTCCTTCTGGTTCAGTGCATTGAGCAGCTCAAACTGGAGCTTGTCCTGCACCTAGGGTGGACCGGCCAGCTGAGGTTTGCTGGCAGCACCATTGTCATCGCGCATAAATTCATCCAAGAAACTGCCCTCACCAAATAAAACCCGATGGCCTTGGGGATTGCGTCACGTACGTTGCGGACCTCACTGTCAGTTCAAGTGGCAAAGTTTGCAGGCAACTTTCCGGCCGAATCAGCCAGAACAAGGCCGAGGCCGTAATTGCCAAGTAGGAATCCAAGCGCTTCCGGATCTCCTTTTAAAAAAGCTTGCCGTCTTCAATGGAAATCCATGAATTAATTTCAATCAGTAACCGACCAAGTCTCCTTGACAAATGGCCCACTGTACCGTTGGCTCTTCCTTTCTGCTTGCTTAGGTCCACCTCAGAATGGTCACCAGCTGAGGTTGGGCTCTTCCAAACGCGGAGCCTTGTATCCCGATGTTCAACTCAACAAAGCTGGCTGCATCCCTTCAGGGGACTTGCTTGAAGAACTCTGAAGGCTGAGATCAAGGGCTGGTCTACAATTGTGCAATGTATCGAGATAGCATCCTTAAATCAGGAACAAGTCTTAAGCGGATCTCTTGGCATCAAGCTGAACATTGTGTTCACCTTCTGGTAGGCAGCACTGCCGCCCTCCTGTCAACACAGGCAGCTTCCTCCATGCTCAAAGGCCTCACATAGATAATGAACTGAAAAGGAAAAAGAGGGGGTTGGCAACAGAGCACAGCAAACAACTCCGGGACAGCAAGACAACAAATGTCAAGACCAGCTGGCGTCTGTTCTGTGACAGTTTGCCTTGATTTGCTGCGCCGCCTTTTCGCCAAAAGTCGGGTCCTCTGCCCCAGGTCAGCTGCTCTAAACTTCGAGAGGAAACTACCAGACTTTCCAGTCCTTCTTCTCCTCCTCCGGCGGTGCTGGCTGCCGCTTCTGCTCCTTGCAGCGTTGGCAAAGAGTGCCGGTCAGCAAAAACGGAAAGAAATAAGGACGCAGTGACAACGGAGTACTACCCATGACAAGCACTTTGGCAGGCCTTGTCTTCGTACATTGGTTCCATGGAACCGTGCTCTGTCAAATAAGACCTGGATCGAGTCAAAATGGCTGGGCTGCATTGCAATAGTGCATCACATAAGGCATTCTCGGATCGTTTGTGAAGAGGTAGCCAATGCTGCACGCAACCTGCGCTCCAGGCTATATGTAGCTATCAAGAAGCCCCGGAAGCCACTTCAGTCGCGGCTGTCTAGAACGGACACGGGCAAAGTCGGCGAGAAATCCGGAGCCTGCTGCTCCACTACGATCCGCGTCTTATCTTTTTGCTCCTGAATAATGTTTGCCGTCATCTCCAGACAGACCTGCAGGGTACAAGCTAGTTCTGTGTGATGCAGGGCAAACTAAAGAAAGATCTTAAAGAAAGATGGTTGCACCAAGCGATGCTTCAACTGAGAAATGAACCTCAGCGAGCTTAGGGAAACGTCTGAAGACAGATTGAGCCATGCGCTGAGACAGCACCTGAGGTCTTGCACAGTGGTTTGCAGCGGCCAGCAGGAAAGTTGTTGGCTTGGCTTGCGGCATCCAGAGCTGAAGCAACATTATGCACACACCTCAGGACCAGGGAGAAACACATGCATCGTACACTTTTTGTGCGAAATCAAAGTTCAACTACATTTCCCACTCTTTGCGGCTCTTGTTACCTGGGCGTCGCACTCAACGGCAGGAATCGAAATCTTTTGCAGATGGGGCCTGCAACGTGCACTGTCAAGAGACAAGGCACCCCATTTGCCACCAATCCCAAAAGATGCACTTCTGCAGGGGCGCGGACAAAGCGAGGTACTCGAATGTATCCGGCGAAGGAAAACCTGGAAGCGAATCACCTGAATCAGCGGCGCTCGCTTCCGAAAGGCTCCTATCTGAACAAGTAGTAGTGTACTTGCAAGCAACTTGAAAAGCGCTTTGCCAAGCAAACCTGGATGAAGAAGCCGGCATCGCTCAAAGTGGACTGGACATGTAGATGACCAAAACCACACGTCATCAAAAATGCTGCACGAGAAGACGAGGAGCACGTGACTATGCCACGGACTCGTTGGGCCAGGCCGAGAGGTGTAACATGGCACGTTCGAAGGCGGGCTAATGCAAAGATGTGTGTGACTTCGCGCCAATTTACAATTGCATTCTCAATCTGATAGGTTGCAGGCACACAGCACTTGACTCTGTCAGAAACACATGCAGACCGAAGTCAGGAGGCCGCCCATCGCGAGAGGGCTCCTGATTGGCATCATCTCAAAGGCCGACGGCCCGCATATGCAGCTCGCTTCCATCAATTTTGCAAGCCCCTGCTGCGCTACAGGAGACCCGGGCCAAGGAATCTGGGTTTTGGGCGCCCTCCGACGACTTTCGCTTCATCGCTGCAGGTGAGGATGGCTGTCTCGGGTGCGAGATTTGGATTTCTAAGCTTCTCCCGATTGCCACTTCAGGTCTTGGTAAGGTTGTCCCCAAGCTTGAGCATTTCACTGTGCTTCATCAGGATCCGCGAGCTCTTTTTATACGTTTGCAGTGCTCTCCGCTGGACTTGACCTTTGTTTGCGTTCATGCGCCGCACTCTGGAGTTGAGAAAGAAGTACGCGCAAAGTGGTGGCAACGATTGTCCTTGCTCTGGCAACGTTTTGTGCAGGGTCGCTATGGTTTTCTTTTAGGGGATTTCAACGCCAGGATTGGCGAGTCTGATGTGTCTGGGTCCTTGGATGCTTCTGTGATGGACTTCAATGGTGGTCTCGCAGTTGATTTTCTGCGCCAGCATGGGTTGACATTGCCATCAACATTTCCGACTCTGCACGCTGGCTCTTCCACCACTTGGGTTTCTCCGAAGGGCCTTGAGCACAGGATCGATTTCATCGCTACTCCGGAATCCTTTTTGGCCTCTGTAGTGCGTTCCTGGGTCGAGCCAAGCATCACTTGCGCTCATGCAGTAGTTGATGATTTTTGTGTGTTGCTTGATCTACATTGGCGGCAGGCATCCGTTCCCCCGGTGCCAACCTGGACCCCGCAGAAGACGGTTAGACTTAAAGGCTTTGGTCTCTGCCGACAATAGGAGCTTTGTTATGGACAGGCTGCAAAAGCTCTCAAGCCCTCTTGGGAGGTCAACGTGCATGACCATGCTGCCCAGATCTCTGATGAGATCGCTGCTGACAGCTTTCCGCTGGCTGATACCAGTCCGCGCTCGGCTACTATGTCAACAGAATCGTGGGACGTTCACAGGCAGCTTGCTGCGTGTCGCAGGAGGGCCAGAATTCTCACCCGGGCAGCTGCCCGTGCACGTGTTGCTGTTTGTTTCTACATATGGCGAGCTCCCCATTCATATGCCTCGTCTCTCGATCTTGGTCATCTTGATTGGAAGTCATGTCAAACTTGGCGAGCCACACTCAGGTCTAAGCTTCGCACCTTTGCTGCAACCATGCGTCAGATTAACCAACTTGCGAACTCCTTCCGGCATTTGTGGAGGGTTGACAAAGCTGCTTTTATCAACGCTGTAGCTCAGGAGGCTTCACTCACTTGTCCTTCTGAGGTTTTCAGGGCTTTGAGGCCAATCATGCCACCTGCGCGCAAGCCTTGTACCATTCGACCTCT